ATAATATAATATAATATAATATAATATAATATAATATAATATAATATAATATAATATAATGTATTTATTAGGAGAGAATAGTGCGCATTTTTTATTGGTAAATAAGGATATTGTTATTTTCTTGGTAAGTATATCAATTTGTGCATATAGTTCAATGATGAGTGTGAATATCATCTCTCAAGAGATTTACATAATATTTGACATAAATTACTAATTATACTAAGTTACTAGGAATGGAAATTTTGATTGATTGTGAAAATAATTATAGTGCTTAAACAAAGATAAATGTGATAATGAATCTTTTTGGTATTTCTAAAAACACTTGGAATGCAAAAACTAATTTTAACATAATAATAAAATATATTGGAATTTAACTTTATCAAATCATCTTCCCATGCTTACAAACAAGTTTTAATCTAGTTATAATTTAGAAATTATTATTTAATTCACAAATATACTCAAATCTTAATTCCTTACAATAACTATAGTCTAGGCTTTTCTATTAAGTTATTAATTCTTTGCATAACTTGACCAAAAACTCAACTTTAAGAATAAGAGTTTATGAATGACTAATAGCATTTACTTTATTCCTAAAGGTAAACATCATTAGTTGTTCTACTTTAGTCTAAAGGTTCACAAGTCTTTTTCAATCACTTTAAATTCACAAAATCAAGTTAAGGGAGATCAAATCATAACAAGCATTAAGCAAAGAATAGAGCAATAATATTGAATAATGACTATAATTAATAACTTGGAATTTGAACATGATAATATGTATGGTTACATCAAATCCCGATAAGAATGAACTTAGTTACACATAGACATAGAACACAACAAAAATGATGAAGAAATGAAAAAAATTTGATCTTAAAATCATGAGAGCTCTTACAATCACCACACACACTCTAAGAAATGTTATTTTTTTATGTACTTGAATCTATCCATTTTTAGGTCATAAACTATTTTGTCTCTTCTCATTAATGATAAGTCGACATTTTGACACTATTAAGCACGAAAATCCACTGTTGAGCATGAGATAAGGAATAACAAAAATTAACCTCTAAAGTTGTGGCGCTAAATGTGAAATTCCACATTCAACGTGAAAATTTGAATTACTCTCTAAAAGGTTGGCACTAAGCATAGGATTTCAAGTTAAGTGCCAAAACTTAGCCAAATTTCTTTTTCTCTCTTGATGCTTCATTAAGTTTTCTACTTGCTTCTTTTATTGTTTTCCATTATTTTCCTTCTCATCTATAAATTAACATGAAAAAGCTTGTAAATTTCCTAAAAGCTTAAGTTAAAAACTAAAGTTAACTTTCTACAAATTAAGATAAATTTGGATCAAATCAAGAGTGCAAGTTAAATGAAAATAAGATAAGTACTTCAAATTATACCACAAGATTAACACAAATATGACACTTATCAGGTATCCCTAACAGAAAATCAAAGACTAATCCATCGATGTATAAATATCCAATTAAGAGAAATGCCTACGTTCCAGCTAGTGAGCATATTCCCCTAAGAGTCTTTGAGGATTTTGATTATTTTTGTGTTGTCCTTTGCCACTTGGATCTGTCATTGGTTTAGGTTCTAGAGGTTAAATTGAGATTGAAGTGAATGTTCCTCCCTGTTGCTGCTTTTCCTTGTCTAGCTTCTTTTTGCTTTCTTGTATTACCATTATCCCTCCTAGTTGTTTTCTCTCTTTCAAGATAAAAAAACAAATGCTCAACTGGTGTTTTACCTCGCATACATAAAATAAACTAAATATAAAGATTATCATAGAAAACAACAAATACTAACTAACTAATAGCACCCTGAAAAAAATATAATAACTTTTTTGTTACTGCTAGCTGTTGGTTGATAATTATTTAATTTTGGTGTACCCCTAGCCTTAGTTTGTTTAGTGTTTTTTCAGCTTAATTTGCGGTTTAAAATTTTGTTTATTAAATGAAGTTTAAATTAAACCTAGCTAGCTCTACTTAGAAATGCAATGATGAGAAATAGTTAAGCAACTTGATGTGTATTCATAGTGATTTTTACTTCTTTTTGTCTATTAAAACAAAAATGAAAGAATGTTGTTTTTTTAAACATGTAGTTGGAGATTGAGAACAAGATATATATATTAGGAAGATAAAGTAGAGATTGAATTTATAATGAATATACACGTTATTTTTTTTTTTTGGTAAAGACGAATCTATGTGTTAGGAACTCCATTTTTGCGAGATTTTTATAACATAGGATATATTGTGTGTCGTTTGGAAGTTAGCTTTTTCTTTAATTTTGGGAAAAGAAAATTAACTTACTTCTCTCGAATCTAAACTAATGTATTATGTGTGTCATTACAGGACAAGGTTTCACTTCAGCAACTATAAATCTAGGTGAAATAGAGGTTTTCAAGATTAGTAGATTTTAGTTCATTTGAAAACAAATATTGTATTTTTTAATTCAATCTTATTTTTCTTGTATATTCTATGAATAGTGTTTTTTGTTTGTGATGACTTATTAATATTGAGTTGGCATTGCTAATCTGGGTTGTGAGTATAGTTTTTTTGTTTCATGTGTTAGTGTATTTTATAAACCATGGAGATATTTCAAGAAGACATTTCATTTTAATATTAAACAAGTAGAAGATACTTCTAGAAATGAAGATATTTCATAGTGAGAAACAAGTAGAAGATACTTCTAGATTTTTTTTTTCATTTCCCTTAATTTTGTTGTCTTGATTTTAAGACTTTCACAATACCAAACTAGTTATGTTTTCTTTATGTCATTTGAGATCACTTTGATGGTGTACATGTCTAATCTTTTTGGTTGTTGAAATAAAAAAGTTTCATTAGTTACTTATTAAAAGTTGATTTGCTAGCTCAAACAAAATAAGGGAGAAAAGTTGGATATGAACACATTAAATATGCTTCAATTAGTGTTATCTCTTTCTATTTGGTTGGTCCCACCTCTTTTCTTTTAAAAGGAGATAATTAATTAATTAATAGCCAAAGCCTACTTGATTTACTTGAAAAGAAAGGAGATTTAAATACTAATGCAGTAGCTACCTTTGCTTTTTTTCTTTTTCAATAATTTGGTTTTACATGGATAAAGTGAATTGATGGTGGCATCTAACAAATTAATGTAACAAAAAATGGTATATGATTTAACATTGCTATCATATATTAGTATCATTGATTATTTCACCTAAATATTTTTCTTTTACCATTTCAACATACTGGTGATACAGATGAACCCGAGTCTCCTTTAAATACAAGAGGATCATCCGGTGACATCAATAAATCGTATTTAATCTAAGGTCCTAACTTGTAAAGGCAAAATGACTTAATTAATTATGTCACTCTTGCGAGACATGTTAATATATGACTTAAATATGTTTTTAATATATATAAAATAAGTATGTTTTAATTTTAGTCTCTATATTTATTTTTTTTGTTTTTTCATCCCCTTAACATTTAGAATTGTTACTTTTGATATCTAAAAAATATCAAATTTTGGTTTTAGTCTCTCAAATATTTTTCTTTTTTTTTCATCCTTCTAAAACCTAAATTTGTTGTCCCTAATTTTCATTTTTAGGTAGATAAATACTATTTATTTTGAGAATTTATAAAACATTTAGATGTGCTTAATATTAACATGATATCAAATATAGTTGTGGATGTCACTGGTGATATCATTTAATACGAAAATAATTAAAATGATCATATAATATTAGAGATTAAAAACAGCATTTTTAATTTTAGAAAGATAAAAATTAAAGAATTTTTTTTGAAAAAAAAATTATTTTACATAAATTAAAAACATATTTAATTGTTTATATATTTACCATATTACGGTTTAAGTGTAATGTTATTTAAGTGGTTTCAATTCTGGCGTAATTTTCAAATTTTAAGTGGAGCGTGACTTACTTAAAAATTAAAAATCAATTATAATCACTCTCATATTATCACGAAACCAAATTAAATAAATATTTTTCCAATTTTAAACATCTTAACTTGACAATTTTATTTGTTGATCTAAAATATAAATAAATCACAACTAATTTTATTTTATTTAATATTGTCATCTCAAAATACGTCTTTTTTCAACTGAGATTATATTTTTAATAATTATTTTTATTTTTAATACCAAATTTCGAGAAAAAGTTTTTTCTTTTAAAAGGTGGAGTATTTTTTAAATAAAAAATAAAATAAAATGATGTTATTATCTATCTTAAATCGCGCAACTTGATTTTATTTTATCTAGAGTGCTTTCTAACAAATTCACTCCATTGAAAACCAATATATATAAATAGTCACTTCCAGAGAATAAACCTAACTAATCCAATATTTTTAATGTAACATATTATTACAATTTTCTCTTCATTTGTTTGATTTCAACCAGTTAAAAAAAGTGCCGAATTAAGGAGACACTAATAACCAGTTAAAAGAGTGGAAGCAAAACTCATCTCAGGAATTTACGGTCCATTATTGATAATGTTGAGTCAAAACTCAACTTCTTCAACCCCATTCAAGATAGAAAAGATCTTTGGAGTAGAATCTTATCAGCCTCATGTCAGGTTGTAAACTGCAACAAATGGCATGAGAACACTTCCTAGCCAGAGTTTACCGTCCCTCTCCTCCACTTCACTCACTGCTCTTACAACTTTCCCCTCACTGTCCTCCAATATCTGCAAAAGTTTACCTTCAGGGCTATACTTGACAAGTGCTGCATGCTGGCGTCCTCCTATTTGAAGCAGGTATTGAGTCTTTGTTGGTATAGGAAGCTTGAGTATGATTTTCCTCATCTTTGGGTAGAGACCATTGTAGTATGAATACATATACCTTCTACAATGAAGAGCTACCCAAAAATCACCATCTTCATTCACTCTCACATTGTCAGGAAATCCAGGTAGGATGGCTATAATCTCTGAAGTCCCAGCTTTTTCTCCTTTCAGCCAGTATTTACGTAACCTACATAACAAGAAATTATATGAGTAAGTAGTAACTACGATTAAGGATATGTTTGAATAAATTTCTCTGTAAACACTTATAAAAGAATAAAATAAGAAGAAAAAATGAAATAAACCGACAAAGTTCTCTATAAACTAAAACTAGCTTATGCATCAGTTAATGTGTAATTTTTTTTGAGAAGTTATGTAAGAAAACTTCTATAAATTAGTTTATAGAAAAATTTATTTTATTTTTTCTTTCTATTTTTTCCTCCGTTTCTAAAAAAGTTTATCCAATAGACTCTTAGTTCAAATAAAAGCTAAAGTAGAATGATTGTCTAATTTCTATCGGTCAACAACAATCAATAAACTGAATTTGCATCATTTGCAAATTGCAACCCAGAAAGATCTATTAGTATCACTTTGAGTAATAAGAAATATGGAAATGGTAACCTTCCTTATGCAGTTGCAATCGAGCATAAAGCAAGCTCATATAAAGGTGACTAGAAAAGACATTCTTAGGTTCCTCCAAACAATTGAAATCTTTTGCAATGTATAATTGAATGTGTACCATTTCAATTATAGCATTAAAATATAGTCAAGTGGGAAACATATTCAGATTCAGTAGTACAAAACATGAAATTTTTGTTACTCTAGGAGCACCCAAGAATTTCTCCACAAAAATCTAGCATATAGAAAAAGTTGAAACCGTTTTATGATTATTAGATTCACCCACCTGCCAACAACCCCTTCACAAAAGACAAAGAAGGAACCATCCTTGCTCAAGGAAATGCCATTTGGGAATTGAATGTTCCTCATAAGAACAGTGATTTCCTTAGTGGCAGGGTTGTATTTCACAACCTTGCCACTATCGTCCGCAGAAAATACCAGCTGAATGAAATTCCTGTACAAAAATTATGTCAGAACCAACTGAACAAGACAGATGAAACAAACATTAACAACAGGAACTTTAAGTCTTTAACTACGTTGGAATACTTATATTCAAAATGATGACAATTTCTAAAGTTTGCAATTGCAATAAATTAATTACCAACAAATTCCTACCTCCTCTGATAATGAGAACTGCTCTCTGTAAAATAAACAATTCCTTCCGCATCAACATCGACATCATTAGTAAATCTTAGTGGCACTCCCTCAACCTCGGTTACAAGAGATGTTGCTAAACCACCCTCGGGTCCCACCTTCAGGAGCCCAAAATATGCATCTGCAATGTACAAATCACCTGTTTTCTTGTCAAATCTGAGTCCCAAAGGCCTCCCACAGATATGCTCAGTTTTCACATAACTAAATGGTGTTGCAGATGCTATAGGATTACATATCTCCGACCTGTGTTCAAAATGAAGATATAAAAAAATCATTACCAGTTAATCATACTAGTATATTGTAAACATACCTAACCATAACATGGACGAGGGAAGAAGTTAGTGTTTAGTCATCACTTCAAAAATGCGTGCTTGAACTTCTAGGAAAATGAGACTGACATAAAAAATGCGTGCTTAAGGTCCATTAATTATGTCACAAGCACTTAGCATCTCGCAACAGTATGATGGAATATGAAATTTGGGATGGAAAATCAGTGACAAGGAAGAAATAAAGGCCTGGAGAAGAATATATATTTTATTTCAAAAACACTTTTTTTTTTTAAAAATAGAAGTGTACCGTCTAGGTAAAAATCTGACTGATCTCTACTCGGTCGATACCCGACTAAGTTACCAGGCCACAAGCCCTCTCGCCTTATCGGCTCAGGGCTGGAAGGCAAGTGTACCGTCTAGGTAAAAATCCGACTGATCTCTACTCGGTCGATACCCGACTAAGTTACCAGGCCACAAGCCCTCTCGCCTTATCGGCTCAGGGCTGGAAGGCTAGTGTACCGTCTAGGTAAAAATCCGACTAGTGTACCATCTAGGTAAAAATCCGACTAGTGTACCATCTAGGTAAAAATCCGACTAGTGTACCATCTAGGTAAAAACCCGACTAGTGTACCATCTAGGTAAAAACCCGACTAGTGTACCATCTAGGTAAAAATCCGACTTAACTAATCCTCACTCATTGCGCGGCCTCGTAGCAAGAACGGTTGAGGAAATCCCTATGTTCTCGGGGCCCATAAGGCCCATGGACGACGAAGTATAAAACCTAAAATCCTAAGGCTAAGAAGGCAGATTACACTTTTGAATGCTCTGGCTTTGAGGCACGACCTAGGAAAAAACCCTAGTCCACCCCTGGGCCGGAACAAGAAATAAATTATTTTATAAGCTATAAATAAATAAAAGAAGAATTTTTGAAAAACCTAATACCAAAGAGTTTGCTAATTTCATTTTGTTTTTAATTTCTATTTCTAAAAAAGTTTTTGTAGAATTTTTCCAAATGACTTAAATCTAAAATATAATTTATATATTAAAAAAGATTAATTATATAAAATGCAGAAAAGAAAACGGAAAGATATGTGTGCATTGTAGAAGAGAAAGAGAAAGTACCTGTTGGGGGAGGTATAAGCGAAGTCAAGCCAAGAGTGAGCGTTCCAGAAGACGACTCTTCCATCGGCGAGACCAGTGTAAGGTCCACGACCGAGAGGGTCAAAGGCGATGCTCTCTGGTCCCTGAACCTCGTTCAGAAACTTAATCTCCGACTTTTGCAGCAGGTTGTGTTTGTCTTGCTCCGTGGGAACCTCGGACCATGCGGGCATGTCGACCCTCTTGGGCTCGAAGTGAGGGAAGTGGGCTATTGGGCTGTGGCGGAAGGGGTCCAGCCCACAGTAGAGGGCGAGCAGGAAGAACACGACGGCGAGGCCCCGCGAGAGAGTCATGGGAAGAGCCAAGGGAAGGGTGTTGTGACTTGTGAGTGTTAAGTGTTAAGTGTCGTTTAGGAGATTATATTAGAAGAATTAACGAACAAGGTGGACCAACCGTTTCCTTTGGTTTGGTTTCAACATAAAAATGGGGTGGGTGGGTAGGTAATGACTTTGCCACCATACCATGAATATGATCACGTGCTCTCTTCAAAAATCAATACTCGAACTAATGTACCATTTCGTTATTCGTGCATATTAATCCCTAGTTCTTGTCAAAAACTTAGATTACTAGTTTAGGACAATCGAATATTATGATACCAATTAATTATTATAAGAAGTCTTAGCACTTGGTAGTTGGCACAACTATAGGATTAGCATGTGGACCTTCCCAGCACCAGCATTTTGGTTTTGGCTATCTAGACTAGACCTCTCAATTAATTTTCATTAATCTTAAAATAATTGTTATCAGTGAAAATCACGTTTTTAAATACTCATTAGTTTTTTATGGGAATTCTTTTTTATTATCCAGACATTCAAGAATCTTAAACGGAGCGCATACAAATTTTATTTCTTGACCCTAAATTTGAAATATATAATCTTCTTAATTAAAAAACAGAAAAGAAATCTCTAAAAATATTAAAATAAATAAAAATTATAAACCTAAATAATATTTTAAAAATTATAAATTGCTAAAAAAATTTCTTAAGTTTTCACTCACTCAATTTATTTAAAATTTGAATTATTTTTTCAACGATTCTTTATTGTCAATTTTAAAACATTACATAAATCATATTCATGAAAAAAATAAGACTCAAATTTAAATTAGTTAATCAGTCTTTTTTATAAAATTCAATCTATTATGTGCTGAGTATTACTTTTTCTCTTTATAGAAAAATACTTTTATCAAATATCTTTTTGAATTCAACAAATTAGTGGAATACATACATTAACCCATGTAAAATAGGATGTTTTTGTTTTTAGTCATTTAAAAAAAATTGATTTTCGTCCATTAAAACTTTTTTTATTTCATTTTCATTCTTGTTATTTTATTTTAGTCCTTTTTATTTATTTTTTCATTTTAATCTCTATAATATTTTGTTCATTTTTAACTAGTCTCTTTAAGAATTTTTAGTAAGGATTAAAAACAAATTATTCAAATATTACAAGACTAAGAGAAAACAATGAGTATATTAAATGGACTAAAATAAAATAACAAGAACAAAATGGAACAATTTTTTTATAGGACAAAAATGAAAAAAAAAATGGATGTTGGATGATTATTTTTAGTAGATTTTCTCTCTTCAACCATATTTTTTCACACACAAAACACAAACTTGAAACTTTACTTAAGGAAATTGAGTCCAATATTACTTACATTAATGACATATTGATTAAAATACTCTTTAAATTTCTATAATTTTATATTTCTTTTAATATTTTAAAATCATTCCATTTTAAAGAAGCAAATCAAGTTGCAATAAGTTTGCTAACTTTGCAATATTAAGTTTATGAGTTTGCTCCATTTTGTATTCTTAATGTTCTTAAAGTTGTTTCAGCTCATGTTTATTTTTTTATTTTACCTTTTTAAACTCTCTTTCAATGTACTTCACCACAAATTTTTTTAATCGTTTATTATTATAAGAACTAAAAAGAAGAAAAAAATATATTATATATAATTATTTTTAAATTATATAAACTAAAAAATAAAATTATATAACTATAGAAAATAAAAAATAGTTAAAACAAACATTTATTAGAAATAGTAAAGGTGTAAAATATTATTTGAGTTTAATCCTTGAAAATAAGAGAATTCTAATATAAGTCTTTGAAAATTTTAATTGTTTTAATTTCTTAAAAGTAATCACTTATAGTCATTTTAATTTCTAAGCATATATTATTATCATTTAAATCACTTTTTTGTTAGCTTTGGACTATAGTGATTAATATTTTATTTTTTAGAGGTATTTTTTATACTTTCAAAGATTAAAACATTAGCAACATATATTTTTAAAGATGCCGAATGGTGATTTGCTCTATTAAAAAAAACAGTTTGTTCAAATTTAATGTCCCCAAAATTTAGTCTTTATTTATTATTTTAGTTGCTATTTTTTTTAATATTTTTATAGTGAATTATTTAATTCAAAGGGAGCTAGTTGTAAAAGCACACATTTTGATCGAGGGGATTTGGACTTTGGATTTGTCGAAGATGATGAGTTGTATAGTGTTGACTGTCGGCTAAGCATATATATTTTTTCGGGGACGGCCAATAAAATTGTATATCAAAGAGTATCACCCATTTAAAAAAATATTAAACAATTGGAAATGGTTCAAGAAAATATAACAGTTGAAGAATGTACATATTATATTTATTATTTAGTTTGTCAATAATTAATTTTATTTTTGATGTATGAAATTTTAAATTATGTTAATTATATTATTTTTATTTTTAAAATATAGATCGATTTATCAGAGTGGCCTTACAGTTTGACTACTAAATCATCAAATAACTACAATTTGATTATCAATTTGATTTTTATAACATTACTTAGAAGTTGATACAATCTTTGTGGGGCTTGCATTTGAGGAGAGAAGTCGACCTTAGAGAATTTTGTTGTTTTTTCCTCTTTCTTTTTACTTCTTCTTATTTAGCTTTAAAGAGGTTAATTTAGGTAAAGAAAGTTTGTTGTTTGATTCTTTAATGCTATTTTAAATTGTATGTGTTGTTGAAACACAAATTGATGGCTTAAGTTGAGAATTTGAAGGCTTTAAAATTTGGATTTTTTGGTATTTTAGACCTTTCCTTGTTGATGTTGATGTTGATTTTTGTTGATTAAGTCGTTGCATATAGGATTAGATGCTATATTTGAGTTCATGATGTTTGTGATCTTTTGATGGATAGCATGTGAGTTTTGGAGCCTTGAGAGTGCTTGCATGTTGTTGATACATAGCATTTTCGGTCAACCAAGTGAATTCGTTGAGCAGACCACAAGGAGAATGACGAAACTAATGGAGTATATGACTATTGTTTCTCTTCTACTAGCTCCAATGTGCTCACAATCTTCATCCATGGAACTCCAAAGCTTAAAAAAGTTCAAAAATGGTGAAAGAGGGAGGAATGCAGTCATGCCACTTCAAGTGAAGATAACACAAGAAGGTGAAGAACTTGCCACAAGGAGGAAATCTTTGATAAAAGTTCATAAAGAGATGTTTTCTCCAGGAGAAAAAACTAAAGTTTTTTTTGAAGAGAAATCTCAATTTTGTTTCGCATAAATATCAAAATAAATTTGACCATGGGAAGGAAAAGCTATATATAGAGCTTGGTTGTTTGTGGTACAAGTTAAACTAACCATGATTAAGTGTAACCAAGGTTAGCTTGTACTTTAGACAACTAACTCTAGTTACATTTTGAATTTCAAATTTCCCTATAAAAATGTCACTATCTTAGATCTAAGAGTCAATAGATGATTGCCACATAACAAGGCAAGAAAAGTGTGACTCATGTCAATATTTTAGATTTAGAAAAACCAATAAAGGTTTGCACATGGCAAGGTGCCAAAAGTGTGACTAGGTGTGACACATGTGCTTATTGATGTGTGAATAACCAAGAGAACACCTAATCCTCTAGAAGTGGACAACCACATCATGGACCTACACGTCCAAGTGGTGTTTTCTTGGGTCATTCAAGCCCAATAAGCACACGTATTATTTTTTATTTACACCTCTTAAAATATTATTTGCACCCTAAAAAATAAAAATTACAAAGAAATAAATTTTTATACTATTTTGACCAAAAAATACAAGGTTAAAATTAAGAAAATATTTATAAAAAAGAGGAAGTCAACTATTAAAAACTCAATAGGAATTTGAACTTTCTTCCTTTAAGCCTAGTCCCTTCCTTTTGACTCCTATAGGACTTGACCTCTTGGTATGATATCATCAAGTTTTGGTCATTCAGGTGAATGTCGTTGAATCGACCTTCATAGGTTGAAGGTATAGGTGTTGGAAACATGGTTTTTTGCTTAGTGATAACAACTTGCTCAACAAGTAACAATGAACATGATGAAGCTAAACTTAGTCATACATGGTTGTTGTAACATCCTAGACACATCAAAATCAAAGGTATCCAAAGGTTGTATATGTGTGGCACTGTATAGTTGAGGATGACTTAAAGAAATAAATTAGTATTAACTATACTAATAAGATACATCTACTTTTCGGTAACTCATTACTTAAGAACTCCATAGTTAAACGTATTTGACTTAAAGTGATTTAGGGAAAAGTGACCTTCTAGGAAATTTCCTAAAAAGTGGGTGAGTGAGAACAAAGAACATTGAAAAGTTTTGTGTTAGTTTATGTAGATAGTCGTTGATCAAAAAGGTAGTCAAGCATCTCAAAAAGGGCTACTCACGAAGGGTTCTAACCAATAAAGATTTATGTGAAGTGTCATGAAGTGGAGCCACTAAGATATCAAATCTGAGGGGTGTTATAATCACTAAGCAAACCTTGGCCACTATAGTTAGTCTAAGTTGAGTCATTTAATGAGATATTCTCGCCAAGTGAGTTGGGGCCTCTATGATAGGTCTAGGGAGCCTCACTTAGCAAGGTGGTAATGCCAAGCAAGACTAAGCTAAAAATTGACCATTCTTAACTTATTGAGTGAATGATGATTTCTTCCAAGATGTTTTCTTTAGAGGTTGGTAAGCCAAATGTTATGGCTAAGCGAACTCTAATATCTACTTAATGAGAGGTGTTCATTAAGCGTTGAACATGTTCCCCCCTGGAACAGGGGTCGCTCAACGAGTATGTCTTACTTAGTGAATCCCTTATTTTGTTGAAAATTCTAAGTTAGCTGATGATATATGATTAAATTGTTGATAATGTTGGGTGGTGAGTTTATAATGACATTGTATGATTGTTATAAGTTGTGTGTTTATTTTAGTAGTGATTTATTATTAAAGTTTATGTTGATTAATTGGAATTTGATAAGTAGCATGTTGATATAAGTTAATGGCGTATGTCGAAAGATGTTTGAAGTTGTGATACATTCATTATAAATGCATGTCTTTGAAGTTGAAAGTTGAATTAGAGGACAATTAGGTTTCACATTGTAA